ACTTATATTTGAAGAAATAACAATATACATACTAATCATATTTTATTTTTTAATTTCATGGAATATCTTGAACATCTTAAAAAATATCACCTACAAATTCATCTTCATTCTATTTAAAAAGGTGCATCTTATATGTACCATGATTAATTCCCATTGAGGATAATGTAGGTGGTTTCCAGTTTTGTTTTGTTTTGTTTTTAATATAAACAATGCTGCAATGCTTCTGGAAAGCAAAGCCTTATTTTCTTTTCTCATATAACACATTAAATGGGACTGTCAGAGTTCCTTGAATAGTTTTTACTAATTTTATTTTTTTTTGAGACAGGGTGTCATTCTGTTGCCCAGGCTGGAGGGCAGTGGTGTGATCCTAGCTCACAAAAGTCTCAAACTCTAGGGCCCAAGCGGTCCTCGTGCCTGCCTCCTGAGTATCTGGGACCCCAGGGGCACACCACCATGCCCAGCTAATTTTTTTTATTTTTTGTAAAGACAGGGTCTCGTTATGTTGCCCAGGCTGGTCTTGAACTCCTGGACTAAAGCAATCCTCCTGCCTCAGCCTCCCAAGTACTACAGGCGCACACCATTGCATCCAGTCTAAAATGTTCTTATGTTGTTTCTTTTATCATTTACTTCCTTTTAACTTCTGTTCTTCTTTTCTGATAGTCCAATTTCAGATACTGGATAACCTGGACTGGTGTTCCAGTTTTCTTACCTTTCCTCTCCTACTGAATCTCTTTTTCTCTCTGACATTTTCTATGAAATTTCTTCAACTTTATCTTTCAGTATTTCCAATATAATTTTTAATTTCAGCAGCCATATTATTTAGTATCTTAGAACTCTTTATTTTCTTATTTTAAAAATAGTATTCTGTTCTTTCATGGATGCAATTTCTTCTTTTATTCCTTTCTGTGAATACTATAGTTTTTAAAGTTACTTGTTTTAATTTTTCGCTTCCCTGGAGTCTCCATTTCCTCTGAGTTTCTATATTTTAGATTTTGTCTCTCATGATGGAGGAGCTCTTCAAAAGTGATCCTAGTAATCGAAATTTAAAGAGAGGTACTCAAAAACTAACTAGAAATTCTGGGTGTATGGATAGAGTGTGTAGACTGGTGGGCTTCAGTAAAGTGTTACTTAGATGATCTCTGTTAGTTGGGAACCTATAAATTTACCTGTAGATTTTTTTCTGAGGCTACCCAATTTCTTTAGGTACCAATCTCCTGCTGGAGCACGACAAGAGAAGGGAGGAAGCAGTGGTGTTAGAAATATGCCTCACCACTAGCCTTCTGGAAGTCAGGACAATCACTGTTTTGTATTTTTATTTTACTTGATTTCCGAGATTTCAGTACAATGCCTCATTTATCTGCCCATAGTTATGTTTGGTATCCCTGAATTTAGAGTTTTGTGGTTCAATTTCATCTCAAAATAAACATCCTATCTCTTGCCCAGGTAGGGCATCAAATTGCTTCTTACTAATTTCCAAACAAGATTCTTCTTTTCAACTCTATGCCTCACCCTTCTCTCTTCTGTGATACATCATATCTCCAATTCTCAAACCCTTCTGGTGCTCTGCAGCTTAGCTGGCTTGCATATTACTGGCAAGTGTTCGTCAGCTCAGTAAAAAATTCTACCACGTTTTCATCTTCCAAATTTGTTGACATAGCCTGCCCATCTGTTGTCTCCCTATTTTCTTCACCCATATGGATTTAATCTTTTGTATTTCCTATATTCTCATTTCAGTAGGATTTCAGAGAGGGGCAGGAAAAAAAGATTTAGTTTGTGATATTTGATTATAAGCCCTTCTATCTTTTTGTACACAGGAATAAAACATAAGTAATGCTGGACAAAGCAACTTATTGGCAGAAAGAGAAACCGCAAAATGGCTGATAACAGATCTTTCTCTGAAATGAAGTTTGGTAAGGGGAGGACAGGAAGAACATGAAGATAGGCAAGAGCTCAAAGGTAACAGGGTAACAAATAAGGAAAAAAGACTTACTAAATCAATTCTGTCGAAGTTTCTTTTCATTTCTTAAAAGTAATTATGTGAACAACAACGAAAAGAAATTATGTCTAATCCTGGCTTCATAACTCAAATCATGTCATAAACCTAAGCCAAATAACCGATGAATTTCAAAAGATAGCTGACATACCACGGCAATGAAAACTGAAGTCTTTGTAAACTAACTTACTTGTGTGGAGTCTGTCAGACCTCTGAAATGACTTCTTCCCCAAGCCTAGCAAAGGATTTTCCACTTTAACTGACGATGAAGAGCTGGAGTTTGAGTTCTGGGGACTGCTTGACTGACCATCAGGTTGCTTTCCTTCCCATATTGCTAGGGAAAAAAGATGTAAAGACTGGTGGCGCTGAGATTATAGACAGAAATCAATTAATCAATCATTTAACACTAACTAAACAAAGTTAATGTATGAGGCAACATAATTCTGTTAATGTATTTTGAATTGGAGAATTAAAGTCAGCAAAAAGTAAAATAAAATCCTTTTTTTCCTCCCAGCATATCATTTACTTCTGGTGGTAAATTTCCTTTTTAACAAAAATGCAAAGTTCTGCAAGACTCAGATTGTCTGGCAGGCCCATAGAATTGGCTTATGGCACAAATTTAATTATGTATATAGTATAATGTCTGTATCTAAACCAGTTTAGATTATAAACAAAACAAGGAACAACAATAAAAAATCCAAAGGCCTTGCAGACATGTCCAATGAAAATTCAAAGGTATTAATAGTATGTATTCTTAGGAAAATCTTTCATTTTTAAAGAGAACTTATAAAGAGTTCAGTTTGAGTTTCTTAGAAACACATTTTTTTTAAGATTACTGACCAGAGGCTTCCAAATATTATTAGCTTAGACAATGTGAGTTAGTCATTGATTTCCATCTTACATGCAAATCCGACTGATGTGTTTTTAAATAACAGCATGATTATTTTGCAAATAACTTTCCCCATTTATCCTGGAAGGATTTATATTGATGATTTAGCAGTACACAAAGATAGTGCAAACCAACATAAAATACTGGGAAAGAAGCTTCCATTGGAAAAAATGCCTAAACTGCCTACCAGGTTTGGCAGGAACAGTGTCACTAGTGGCCTTGACAGTCTTTAGAGAGAGATGTTGGTTGGAGGAGATGGACATGCTTGGCCTGCATTGCTGCTGCTGCTTCTTCTGCTGTTGCTGCTTTAGAGCCTATAAAGAGAAAACTGACTATAAGAAACAAATCAGTTTTTTAGTAATAATATAAAGTAAATGACCTCTTTAAATGGTGAGAAGCATGCTGATCATTCAAGTTCTTTGAAATCTATCAAGGCAAACAAAAACCTAAATTAAGCCAACCAAACACAAGGCCTAAATGATCCTTACAGTTTGGATACTTTTGGTCAGTATTACTCCTTTATATAAATGTGAGAAATAGTCATTAACATATTTTAGAACTTAAAAAATAACAAGTAAGCCAAACATCCCAATCTTGTAAACACAGATATGTTTTAAATAATTTCTAGAAACAGAATTCTAAACCCTGTACCCAAAAGAGGCCTATCTGCATCAACCTTACGTAGAAATATAAATATTTAGCTTATCTAATGCTTCACAGGTGCTACATTTGAACAAGAGGCTGTAAATAACTACTTGAGTAATCTTGGGTAAGAGCAATGAGATTTGTCTCAATTACCTCATCTCAGCAATTTACAGCAATGCAATAAACAGAGGGGAAGGAAGACTAGACAATAGTTGTTCTAAGAATAGTGTGGTTCCTTCTGGCTCCTTCAGAATATTTTTAATTTTTTGAGGTTTTTAACTTTTAAAATACATCTGACAATACTATTTAAAATTAACAGAAAAACCAAGAAATACTCAAATTTTAATCATGAAAACATATAAAGGCAACTATTAAACTCAAGGTTTTTAAAAAAAGACACAAACCAAGTAAGTAATTTCAGGAAAACACTGGAAATTTGACTGTGCTAAGCTGCCAATTTCAAGCTTTAACCTTTAAGACCATCATGTAGAAAAGTGTGGGGAAACTGGCTACTTCTAGTTTCACCTTTCCTCTTCCTAATATAGTTTCCTCCTGCTTAACATTTACATATATCTCTGGCTGTGCTACAGGCACAGTGGCAACCCTGATCTTGCTCTAAGCTGCCAAGGGAGAAAACCAACTGAGAAGGCCACATATCTGGCTAAGATTCATCTACACTTGTAATAGGTGAGGCAGAAGCACAATGTGTAAAAAATGGCAGTGCTGTCTGACCACTGATTATGGCTTAGTCTCTCATTCTCTGCAAACAGATAAGATGTTCATAGGCGTCCTGGATGGCATCTGCCGGTATTCATCCTTGCTACTCACAGTACCCATATAATTAATTCCAGGTTAATACAAAACTTTTTTTTTTCTTTTTCTAGAGACAGGGTCTGACTCTGTCACCTGGGCTAGAGTGCAGTGGCATCATCATAACTCACTGCAACCTCAAACTCCTGGACTCAAGCAATCCTCCTGCCTCAGCCTCCCAAGTAGCTGAGACTACAGGTGCACGCCACCAGACCCAGCTAATTTTTCTACTTTTTGCTCTTGCTCAGGCTGGTCTCGAATTCCTGACCTGAAGCAATCCTCCCACATCAGCCTTCCAAAGTGCTAGGATTACAGGTGTGAGCCATCGCACCCAGCCTAACGCAAAACTTAACAGCACCATTTGATACCATCTGTTTGTGTCGTGATCATGTAAATTCAGACACATGATGGAAACAGAATAATTTACAGCCCCTCTAATCAAGAACTGTACAGTTTTCCCCTCAGTGTTTTACAAACTCTGCTCCTAACTCTCCTTTAAAATGAACAACAATAACAACAACAACTCTCATTTGTGGTAAATGATAACTAATATTGAAGTAATTTTTCTCACCTAACATTAAGAAAAATGTAACACTGGAAGCAAGGACTTACTTCACATACCAACAAATCTAATTTATATACTTTTTCATATTGATATTCCCTAAAGAAAATAAAATATTTGACATTTAGGATTATAGGAGTATACTACAGGAGAAGTATGTGTGTCATGAATTAGTTAACAAGGTTTAAGAAAATACTTGCCTTCTTCCTGTGGGGAAACAGCATCTTATACTTCTTAAAAATCTTTCCAAGAACTTACAGAAATGCAAGTGCTATAGGATACCCAGGCAGGCAGCAATTAGTCTTATCAAATTTATGGATATTTTTTAATAAAAGTGTTCCTGGTTTAAATAGTTTAAAATTTACATAATTGTTATTAATAAAATTTTATTAATTTTAATTAAACAGGCAATATATGAATACATTTTTACCACAAAACTAAACTCTTTTTTAAATCACTACCTAGGTCTTGGTCCACAATTCTCAGAGGTAACCACAGTCATCAGTTTATTTTTCCTTACTGAACTTATTTTTATACTTTCATATATATGTGTGTACATATGTACACACATATTTGTACAGACATATGTATATTTCTATTAAAAATATAGCATTATTTTGTCAATATGTGCATGTTTTTAAAAATGGTATCATGCCCTACATGTTGTAGTAAAACTTAATGATTCTTTTTCCATGTCTAAACATATATAACAACCTCATTACAAAATAAACTTTTTAATCTTGGATAATTTTCCAGCATATCAATACGCCATCATTTACTATGGAACTCCCTGATATATATTTTAGCTTATTTGCAAGTTCTTGCTATAACAAACTTTAACGTATTTTTCACTGTGTGTGTGTGTGTGTGTATGTATGTATGTATATTTCTAATGTAAGTTCTAAAATGTTCAACTGCTTAATCATGAGATATGCGCATTTTAAATTTTAACAGATATTGTAAAATTTCTCTCCAAAGTGGCTATAATAATTTATATCCCAATAGCAAATGAGTATTTATTTTCTTACACATTTGTTAATACTTGATTAAGCTCTTTAATTTATACCAAAATCTGAGGATAAAAGTAATCTGTTATTTTACTGTTTCTCTAATTATTAATTAGTTTATATTTATTGATCATTTGCATTTTAAAACAATCCAAAGCTAGTTCTCTCAAAAGCCCAATAAAATAGACAAATTGTTGGCAAGTAGTACTGGAAAAAAACATACATTAAAAATGAACAACACTGAGAAACATAAAAGGGAGACATAAAAGAATACACTATACAACTTTATATCAATATTGAAAAAATTAGGTGAAACAGACCATCTAAGAAACAATAAATTTCTAAAATTGGCTCAAAAATCTGAAAATCAAGAGGCTACTAATAGATGATGAAACTATAATGCCAAGAAACAATTTTAAAAGGTGTTATTTACTGAATTTTCAAGGAAAAGATAATTTCTACAATTTTGTTCCAAAATCTAGAAAACCAGAGTTGCACAACTTATTTTATGATGCTAGAACAATCCTCATTTCAAAATCACATAAGAGTATAAGAAAACTGCAAAATCCAAACTAAAATCTTAACAAAATTCAATTAACATATGAAAAAGATATGTAACAAGTATGCAGGGTTTATTCCTGAGAGTTACAGTTTAATTTTAGAAAATCTAGCTGTGTAATTCTGTATATTAGTAAATTAAAAGAGAAAAATCTAACTAATCTCAATCAATCCCAAAGAAAACAAACTTGGAAAATTCAATACCTATTCATGATTTAAAAACACACAAACAAAAAAACTTCTCCACAAACTAAAAACTTTAAAAATGCGATTAAAGAGAGTATCTACTAAAAACCTATAACAGGTATACAAAAAGGTACACAAATTACTAAACCAAATTGGGATACTGCATGAAATTTCCCCTTAAAAGGGCCCAATGTAAAAGCTTTTGAGAAATTTTCAATGACTGCCAGAGTCATGCATTTCTAATGTGGGAGATTATACTTCGGATAAACACAGACTAGCAATGCTTACCTGCTTTAGTGCTTTCTTGCTGTGCTTCTGTGATGGAGAAATGACTTTACCTGCTGGAATGGTGGGTGATGGGCAGCCTGACTGGGGAGAGGATGGCTGTGACAGTCTAGACGATACTAAGGGAAAAAAGCGACAATGAAACACTTTGTTATCAAAGTTGTTATCAAGCACCATTCCTTCCCCAATCATATGCTGCTACCTGTATTAAGAACTGTGTGACCAAACACTTTTGGGAAGGATCTTCTTTTTGGAGTTCTACTGCAAACAGCCTCCCTTTTCAGTTTATTTCCTCAGAAAGCTCTAGTGAAGGATGATAGGATGGGGAAGGTATGGGTGTTAGTATTCATTACTTTTCATTCTTTAATTTTTCAATAGAATTGATTGAAGAAGCAGGAAGTAGAACATAAACCATGAGTCATCAAACTAGATAAAACTTAGAAAAGATTCTAGGGCCCTTTGGACAGTATCTATGTTCTCAAGGTAAATCTAAAGACAATATGATATAGTAGAAGAGCCCTGGATTGA